ATATATACACAGTTTTTTTTGTAAAAAAAGAGATTTTGTAGAGATTTTACAATTATATAATTATAGAAAAAATATTTTATTTGAATTATTTAATTTTATTATTTGCTTTAGTCTTATCAGTGTTCAGATCATTCGCGTTTTTGGTCGACGAATGTGATTAGAATCACGAGGTCGAAGGCCAAGAAATAGAAAATGCTGTTAACCTTCGCTGATAACACGAGAACCCTTCCTGTACTTCTATCCGCTGATAGCGATAAAACAATTCGGCAGTTAATTTCGTGGAGTGATATTGTAAGCGTGTTTTAAACTGTTTTATCTGGCTACAATTTTACATTTTGATTATATACATATATTATTTTCTACGATTGTACACATTAATAATAACAATTGTTATCAGCATGCAAAAAGTTCGTAAATAGAATTCGCAACATTGAACTTACAATCTAGCGTTATCGTATTATCGACTCAAATCTTTTTAAATATATATCGTCTATATATTTTTTATTGTTTCAATCTGGACAAACAGATTCAAGCTGTTGTATCACAACGTTATTTCAAATTTATTTACGTCATTTGATTAATCTTTGCTTTTAAAAGTTACTATCGCTTTATTTTCCTCTTGTTTAAAAGAATATTTTCTCCAAGTGTTTTATTTCTTTCCTTTTCTAATCTTTTCCTTCTAAACTCTTTTTTAGGTCTATTGAGAAATCCCGGTGCTGCTAAAATATTAAACGTCTGATTTGCTCACCCCATTTGTCAAAGGCAGACTCCTTCCTACGTTCCCATCTGGATTTCAGTGCGTACTTGAGCATCTTGTCGGAGGCGTCGATGCTTACGACCTCGAAGCCCTCCTCCAGCAGCATCACGGAGTCGACCCCGGTGCCGCAAGCTACATCCAATATTCGATGGCATCCGTTTTGTCGCAGCAGACCTACCAGAAAGTCCCGATAATTCTGCGTACGTTGCTTAATGTCACCGATGAAGAATTCCCAGACTTTCGCCGCTTTGCCATCCGCGTATTGATCCTTGACACCCTCGGCTGGTGTACCGTGATAACGAGTACGAAATACCGTCGAATCCATAATCGCGCGAAACCTTACGACAAAACTGCGGAATCAAAAAAAAAAAACCGCATACCTTTTATAAAAGTATAATTAAAAGGCGTTGGGATTACATAGTAAAGAATATAAAAGCTCTGTGATATTTTTACAATATCCTTGAAACATTATTAATATATTGTTGCAACCTTGTGCCAGTATTTTGCTCGATTCCATATGTATAGTGTCTCCGTAACATTGCACTGCAGTTTGCGAAATTGCAACATTGCTACAATGTTGCTAAAAAATTCGGTGTCATATATGAATTGAGAGATATAAAAGCAAATTTTTTTTTATTATTGCTAATTATTCGAAATTAATTTAATTCTTATGTATACATATATTTTTTAGAAATATGCGATACTTTATTTAAATAAACATGTGAGTTTATCGAACGCGATATATTCGCGCTGGATTTATACAGTTGTTTATATAAAATATGGATATAGATAATACGAAATATAAACATGATACATTTTATCAAAACGTTAAGATTAAATATAATATATTTATATTAGCACGAGAGATATGATTAAATGTGTGTTATCACATAAAATACAAATATATAATTATAAAACTTTCTAATAATAATCTATTATTAGATGACATGTTCACTTCACGAAACAGAAAAATTTCAATCTACCATTTTATGTCATCAAACTGCATGTAAAATTATTTAAAAGGAAAAAGTTTTATAGATCGGAATTTAATATTTTAATCTAAAAACCAATATGTAACTCACTGTTATATAATTTTGTTAACTATCTTTCTGTATTTCTTTTTTAATAATGCGTTGATTGAATTTAAGGGGTATTTAAGTATACGTAATAATGAGGCTAATGGTTTGATTAATTTCCGTATTAATCATACGTTGATATAATATAATAAATTTTTATCTATAAGATTTCGTAAATAGTTCATATCCGTGATAGCATAGATTCTTATACATAGATTATTATCTCGCGTAAAACTTTCAACGTGAGCCAAACATGTATAAAGTATTTACAATAAAGGCAAAAATGAGTAAAAAAAGAATTCTTTATTTTTCTCTTTTGTAATAAATTTTTCTCTTTTAGTCTCTGTGTTCTTTTCTGAGATAGGTTGTAATGACAGACTAAATATTGATCCATTATTACATAGGTAAATTAAAAGTATATTTCAAGATATCAGTTTTTTTTTCTTATTTTTAATTCAACTTGAAAAAATTAATCTAAATTTAATTAAACTGGGACAATAAAAGAAAATAGAAATTGAGTTAAGTCTAAATTGAATTCTTGCATTTTTCAAATTAATCTCTTTTTATAAATGAGTTAAGTCGCTATTGCATTTTGAGATTGACCGCTTTTGCTTGGAGAGATATCGTACCTTCTATTCCACGAGCAATGATAACGAATCCAAAATCGGAGCTCCAGCTAAAGAATATTGATACAGAAACCACGCTCGTAGAAGTGAATAAAAACTGTCGCGGTGATACAACGATCGCCCGTATTTATATACACCGTGATAAATAAGAATCATTGTAACAGTGTGTGTGTAAATACATATATATACACTAGCTGATACTTCTCAATATGATGTAATCAAATTTTTCTGCGACACAATCGAGAGACGATTCGAGCTTAGTAATGTTGATAAAATAGAGAGTGATTTAACTCATCACGATAATTGTGAAAGACTTCGCGAACGGTCCTCAACATCTCACAAGATGTGATCACGAATCAAGCAAATTATCCGAACAATTAGCAGATATGCCTCTCCCTTTTTTCGGTTGTAAATTAGACATCAAATTACTCTCGATTCATATATATACACTACTATTTCATTCATATATATTTTTTTTCCTCCTGATGTAATAAGTTTTTTTCAAATATAATGCGATGTGACAAATGTAATAATATTAATGTTACGATTGTAAATATAGTTATTACGTCACGAGCGCGCATTACGGTATCAATATTATTATTCAGAAAATATATTTATAGGATATATGACGCAATATACGATGACTTGCGAGTCAATGACTTGTAGAATATAATTTAAAGGAAAGCTAGATGAGAGATGAAAAAAAGATGATAAATTGATTCGTATGCGCGCTCTCGCAGTATTTGCACATATGGTAATGAAGCTTAAATAATTAAAAACAGATGTTTTTGTTCCGCATTTGTGCGTATATATGCGCAAAATTAAAGATATATCCAGAAATATATATTATTATTGAGATATTTTCAAAACAAATTCTATATCAGTTCAATAAAATTGTACAATTCCAATACAAAATCTATCAATCGCCTTGTTTTGTCGCCGGTTCAATTTATATTTTGTTTAAAATGTAAGAAGATTTATAAGAGCCTAAGATGTGCATAATCTGTGTTCTGCCTGAAATATGTTAAAATTATTACGTCACAAGAATAATAAATTTTTTATTAAAGTCGATAACAACTACATGTATTCCACATATATATCGGATTCTTTACATTTTTACAATTATATTAATATAATACAATAATGCAGTTTGAATCAATTATATTCTTAATTTATTATGGTGTTTTAAGTACTACATATATATCCTTTATAAGGATAATATAAAAATGTATTATTTTAATTAGTAGATGTTTTGCAAAACGGAAGGATCAATTATATATGTAGATAATTCAGTACAATACAAAAAATATATATATGTATATAATAAGCTCGATTAGAAATAGAAATAAAAATTTAATCCCTATAAATAGGAGGAAGGGGTTATGTAATAATATCTTCGTTTAGCTATACATTGTGTGTTCTTATTTTAAAGAGCATACAATACAATCAACTATAAATTGGCAGTTGTGTAGTTAAAGATTTTTCAGCATTATATTCAACCTTGTAACTTGAAGAATTGCTTTTATGAGCTCTTATATCAAAATATATATAAGTTAAATGCAACAAAGTCAATGGCAGAAAATATTATTCTTTCATAATTTATAATACAAAATAAGATTCATAATGAGGAAAGATTCTTCATAAATTTTCATAATCTTTGTTATCTTAAAATACTCTTTCTTTTTAATATATACAGAAAAAATGATTTAAAATCTGTTTATTCATTTATATCTTATATATTATCTCTCTTTGTAACAGAAATAGGAAATTAATGCTATATTCTCTCCTTTCTTACATTGAAATATATTCTTCGCGCCATCGAGTTTATCAACTTTATTTAGAAACGTACACAAGATTATATGTAATTATGCTTACGTGAAAAAAGTGTTGGCTTCTATAAATCAAGACTTTTCATAAGTAAATCATCAATTATGTCTCTAATGTTCTGAGTGGTGCACAACAATCTGTTGAATGCAATAGATCAGTTAAAACACTAACAAGGTTTTATTCATTTTCTGAAACTATGCAATGATCAGATGAACGTTGAACTATATCACTTTGTCAGTTGCAACACATTTTTCCAGCACCCTAGCCCAATTGTCACTGTACAAAAGTTCGTACCCTCATACATTCTTTAAATCGTCAGGCAGTTCATTCTTGGGATGTTTATTCTCAAAGTGTTGCTTGTAAGTTTTAGGATCTGGCATTTGAGCCTGTAAATAAAACAATTTGTTATAGTAAAACAATTTGTTAAATATATATAAGTGCCAAGACATTTATAAAAATCTATAAAGGTTCGAACCTTGCATACAGAACACACATGTACAAGTGCTTTCTGCGCTGCCTTCTTCTGATCATTGGCGCTATGTCCCTGTTGTTTCTTCAATTTTGCACTTTTTTCCGCTGCTTTAGCTTGAGATTGTATCTTTTGTTGTCCACGAGCCATTCTGGAAAGAAAAACACACACATATATATACAAGTGAAAACACATCTCAAATAATATTGACAATAAAAATATGCTTTCGCAGCCTTGTTTCCTCCCGCACATCCGCAAAGTTCATTGACCAAGAGAGTCGAACTAACTTTAGAATATAGCCAGCCAGTAACATATCTAACGTCTCTTCTGGTACAATAAATCTAATCTTATGTTTCCAGTGATTATCATCGACTGTCAATACAACTGCCAGTCTTTCCTATCTCTCGCGACTATTATTTCTGGAAATGAAATACAAAAACTATATTGTATATATCCTACCTGAAACGCCGAAAACGTGCGATCGAAAATATCCGCAGGGCTCGCCGAAATTATTCACCTGCCGCGATAAATCGCGCGTTCGCTTTAACACAGTCCGGAGGTAAGATGTAAGGTCGCCGCTTTCAGTCGATGGAAGAAAAAAAAATACGGAGTAAACTTTCTATCCGAGGAGAGTATGTACATTTCACCACGAAGCGAGCGAGAAAGCATAGAAGCCTGCGTGTCTTTCGCAAAATTTCTCTTTCCTCTCTACCTCCTCCGCCAAAAATATGCCTGTCTCGTTTAACAAGTGCAGATGGTGCAACGTGGTGCAGCTGCTTCAAGCAATCCCAGATTTCTTACCTATCCGCGGATAAACCGGTAGACGCGTTTTTGTTCTGCCTTCCAGATTTTCCAGATTCGGTGACCGAAATCTCCTGCTCCGCGACGATGGAAGCGCGGCTGGTGTTCTCGCCCTCGCCGTCCTTTCTCGCGCCGAGGGAGAAATCTTTTTTTCCCCCAGCTGTGCTCCGATATTCCGTCCGATATTGCTGGCGGTGCCAGTACTGGCGGCAGTGTTGCCAAGATAGAAAAAATATTTCCTACATATTGCGTTCGAAAATCTATTCGTTGGACAAAAGGAGGAAAAATTTCTTTGCCCTGATTGGTCAATAAATGATACTTGCGGCGAGTAGATTTTTGAATGCACATTTGGTAGAAGCGGCAATATTGGTTTCTTCACGAGAAACACGATACATTTGTCTTGATCGTGTGATACGTCCGACATGAGTGACAACGTGGTAGCTGACGTACAAAATCTGACTTTGACGGAGGATAAGGCACGAATCCCTTAACTTTACATATAATTCGGCTTCTCTAATGGTTCTTTGTTCTTTGATATTGTTAAAACTACTATGTTGACAAGCTTTCGCGTTTGTAGGACCGTTTACTGCGGTACTAAGTGGACACATGCTCGGGTTGGTTAAGATATATTTTTGTCTCTCTGGCTTTTCCTTATGGCAATTGTTACACGAATAAAGCTCACGTGCATTTCTCTTGCTGTTTTCTATTGTCTAACAATGCAGCCGCGTGTCTTTTGTTTATAACTGGCCGATCATTGATAATGACAGAATAATCGATATAATCTGACGTAATATACGACTATTATTTCTTGTAAAAAATGCCTGAGAATGCCGATCCTAACTTAACCTAACATACGTTCACCTAATATATGTTAAGTGTCATAAAAACCGAAAAATAACTACTCAGTTGACAGTGCGTTAAATATATACATTAAAAAAAGAAAAAAATCTGATATATGTGATTTCATGTATAATTTAATACATCACATAAATTCGAAAGTACAGGTAGCGTTTTTCTATTTTAGATTCTTTTGTTTTTAGACAAAGGCGATGAAGGCATACAAGAAGAAAAATGCTGTGGTGGAGAAGTCTATATCTGAGCTTAATCCTTGGCCCTCGTACATTCAGGTAAATCAAGATTATTGTGGAAATAAATTTAACAGTTTCCTCTTTATGAATAGAGAATCGCTCTTGAGATTTTGGTTGCAAAATTTTCATAATGTATATTAAGTAAATAGAGAACAAACTAAAAAGAAATATACAAGTAGAAATATATGTTGATTCTTTTTTTGTAAAGTTTTGTATATTTTTATAGGATCGTATTATATTATGGGACAAGTTGAAAAAGGAGTACGAGGATGAATTAGCTACAAAAACTCCTGTCGATATAACTGTGACTCTTCCTGATGGCAAAAAGGTATCTGCTCAGTCCTGGCGTACAACTCCTTATGAAGTCGCAAGAAGTATTAGTCAAGGATTGGCGGACAATACTGTAATTGCAAAGGTCAATAATGAATTGTGGGATCTTGACAGACCTTTAGAATATGATTGCAAACTGCAATTATTGAAATTTGATGATCCGGAAGGTCGGCAAGTGTTTTGGCATTCCAGTGCTCATATTCTCGGGGAAGCTATGGAAAGAGTATATGGTGGTTGCCTTTGTTACGGACCTCCTATCGAAAATGGCTTTTACTATGATATGTATCTGGGAGACAAAGGCATTTCTAATACGGACTTTCCTTATTTGGAAAATCTATACAAGAGTATTGCTAAAGAGAAACAAACATTTGAACGGCTAGTGATGACAAAGGAGGACCTTTTGGAGATGTTTAAGTACAATGAATTTAAAGTACGGATTATTAACGAAAAGATACATACGCCCACTACTACGGTTTACAGATGCGGCCCGTTGATCGATTTGTGCAGGGGACCGCATGTCAGGCACACGGGCAAGATTAAAGCTCTCAAGGTTACGAAAAATTCGTCCACGTACTGGGAGGGAAATGCTAACGCAGAGTCATTGCAGAGAGTTTATGGAATAAGCTTTCCTGATGCTAAGCAATTGAAAGAATGGGAGAAGTTTCAAGAAGAGGCGGCCAAACGAGATCACAGAAAAATCGGGAAAGAACAGGAGCTATTCTTCTTCCACGAGCTATCGCCTGGTTCTTGTTTTTTCCAACCACGCGGCGCATACATATACAATACGTTGGTCGAATTTATTCGTTCCGAGTACAGAAAGAGAGGATTCCAGGAAGTGATTAGTCCAAACATTTATAATAGTAAATTGTGGCAGACTTCTGGACACTGGCAACATTACGCCGAAAATATGTTCTGTTTCGATGTGGAAAAGGAAACCTTTGCATTGAAACCCATGAATTGTCCAGGCCATTGCATGATATTCGACGTTCGATGTAGATCGTGGCGCGAGCTGCCGCTCAGAATGGCGGATTTCGGCGTGCTGCATCGTAATGAATTGTCGGGCGCGTTAACGGGTCTTACCAGAGTAAGACGGTTCCAACAGGACGATGCGCACATATTCTGCTCTATCGATCAAATTAAAGATGAAATGTTAGGCGCTCTCGACTTTTTACGGCACGTTTATTCCATTTTTGGTTTTACGTTTAATTTATGTCTGTCCACGCGACCTGAGAAGTATTTGGGCGATCTAGAAGTTTGGGACCGCGCCGAAAAAGCGTTGGAGGACAGTCTGAATGCATTTGGTCAACCATGGACCCTTAATCCTCAAGATGGTGCATTCTATGGACCTAAAATCGACATAACACTTATGGATGCACTTAAAAGGGCTCATCAGACTGCTACAATACAATTGGATTTCCAGTTGCCAATTAGATTCAATCTGTCTTACGTTAAGTAAGAATATTTATATTAGAAGCTTCACACACACTAAATATTTTGATCAAATATCTGAATATTGATTACTATATTTTCTTATACAGTGAAGCTGGAGAGAAAACACGTCCAGTTATTATACACAGAGCTATTCTGGGTTCTGTAGAGCGTATGGTTGCTATTCTAACTGAATCATATGGAGGAAAATGGCCATACTGGCTTTCTCCTCGACAAGCAATGGTTGTGCCGGTAGTGTCACAATTCGATGACTATGCTTATGAAGTAAAACAGAAGCTTTGGGACGCTGGCGTTATGGTAGAAGTCGACACTGATTCGAGCGATACTTTGAACAAAAAGATTCGCAATGCTCAGCTTGCACAGTTCAACTTTATACTTGGTATGTACCAAATTTGTTCAATAAGATAATTTATTTAAAATTATATTATTTGGTGAAATAAAAATAATACTCTGATCATTCTGATATAATTTGCTTTTATACTAACATGTACACATTTTATTGCAGTTGTGGGAGAGAAGGAACGTAATGCTGGCACAGTGAACATAAGAACGAGAGACAATGTCGTGCACGGGGAAATGGCAGTAGAGGAATTGATCACAAAATTGAAAATTATGAAGGAAACGAGAGATCTAAGTGGTGAATTAAAGTCTTAATCTAACATTATCTCATATTAAAAAGGATTTATTTATTTCTAGATATTATATGATATCTTGATAAGTCAATAGGTAACTTAATTATGATTAAACTCTCTTTATTGTAAATTATTTCTTTTTTCTTTTTGCACATTTCAAAAATATGCATTTTTATTTTTTGTGGTGTATTTTATAATATGAATCAAGTGTCACAAGAAGCGGATTAATATGATAATTAATACAATTTATAAAATGTCAAGTTTTGCATTTATTATGTTTCTTGAATGGTGTGAAATCCCTTCTTTATAAATATACAAAAACAGATATAAGAGGATATAATTTATACATATTTTACTGTGTACAGTATTTTTATTATTTATAAATATTTTATTATTTACTTATTATAAACAATTTTTGTACATTGCATTTTGTTATAATGCATAGACAATTAATATGATCACATATAAAGAAATTTGACAGCTTTTATTGAGCATATTTTTTATCATTATACATATATACATGATTATGATTCAAAAGTATTTATCAAAATGGCTGTGCTTTTTGATTTTGATAATTGGTAATTTTTATTATTTAGATAATATGCAAAATATATATTATGCTGTATCTTTTTTTTTATTTCGAAAATAAATCTTTAATTTCCTTATATCCTGTACGTCGATTTCCTATATTCTATTTATTCTCTTTATTTTAGATAGGTATTCCTGCTCTGATTTCCTCTCTCCTAAGATTGTTCTTTTTTCCAGTATTCAATTTTACTTCTGCGCATGTGTCATCATGTATGAGAGAGAAAGAGAGAGAGAGATCCTAGAATAGAGGAGAAATCGACTGTATAATTAAATATATAAAAATTGTTTTTTTCTGTCCCACTCATCTTATAGCAATAATTTTATGTATTGCCAGTAATGTATCTTTTGTTAGTATTATTTGTACCATTATTTGAGACTGTATATCCTTTAACTTTGTTGATATTAGAGCGCGACATTTGATCGTCGTAGTGTCACTTCCGGGAAGAAGAGGGACCGGTACAAAAGCAACGTAACGGAGCGTAACCCGTAACGTCTGGTAACATCGGGTCGAAGATGACAGCGGTGGCTATGCCCCCCGCAATGTCCCACAATAATAATGGGATAATACAAGTAGTGAACGAAAGTAATTTAAGTAAGATAGAGAGGTACGTATTTCTCTCTGTGTTCCGTTTTGTCGTAAAGTTCGATCATCTCGCGCAGAGCAATCGCAAGTAATTATTGATCTGCTTGCAGCTTCCTCAACGACACGGCTTACAGAGAAGCCATTGAAAACTCCTCTAATTATAATAGCCGATTATGCCGAGAACGACGTCTTCGCATGCCCTTCCTCGACTCGCAAACAGGTACGTCAGATTAAACATCATGATAATTTTATCTTTACAATAATTGTAGAATTAATTAATATGTGTGCGTTTTAGCATTATTAATTAATTTAATTTATATTAATATTAATAGTTTTTATATTTTTATAAATAACTATATTATAATTGTGTTTAACACATCAATTACAATTAAAATTATTGTAATTATTTATTTAAGATTTTGTCTTTAAATGATAATATTTAGGCTTTTGTAAAATTACAGGTGTGGCACAGAATCATTCTGCGCTTTTTATGTCCTCGAGAGAAAGATTACCAGGTTTGTTACATGGTCAAATTTACACCTATCCAAGCAAAAGATGGCGAAAGAAACGACGGCAATACTTGATGCATTATTTGCATCCAAAACGAGGACCAAGAGGTGATACGGAGGATGGAATAGAAGGTGTCGAAGCTGTTACGCACATAAATGATGATAGCAAAGATTCAGTAGTGCTTAAAGGTAAACAAAAACAGATAAATATTTTATAGCATATATTATAACGGATAAAATTATATATTATACAAAAAATATTTTTATCTCGTTATATAAATCATATAATTTAGACATTGGTATTACTAAGCTGCATTGTAAATAAAAATTGAATGTTTTCAGATGAACACAGTAAAGACGCTTGGTATTATGACGAACAAGATATGTTAGACATGGATGCCTATGACGAACCTGATCCTGAAAGTGATTACGATTATGAAGAGAGTTATAGTAGTAAAAGAAAACGCAGGAAAACTCGTGGTGGTGGCCACCATCCTGCTCGTAGTCATCCACCTTCGACAGATAGTCCAGGCGGTAAACGAACAAAGGTATATAGGGATATATATATTTATAGATAATATAAATATTTCGAATATAAAATATTAATATAATACGATAAATCAACATATATATATCTATCTTGAGGCAATAATATATTTATGCGTTAATTTTATGTGCAAGGTGCTCTTAAATTTACACGAATTTATGATCAATCTGCATAAATGTACAAATAATGTAATTTATATCTAATGCAGGGTGGGGGCCGCGGACGCAAAAAAGCCAACTACGACTCTGTTGACACTGATAAACCATTCGTTTGTGACCGTAAGTTTAATCATAGATACAACTACAAATGACTATTCTTCCTGTTATTAGTTTATTATAAATATTATTATTATTATTCTTAGTTCTCTGAAATCTATTTCAAATAAGTTATGAACTATTTTTTCGTTACAAAATTTGTTAATTTTATCCCATGTTTATATGATGCCCCATATAATACACCACGACACAAAAGTTAGATTATGATATAAAATAAGATAGAAACTCGAAATAAATTGTTAAATATTATAGTTAAATAATCTTATATATGTCAGACAACACAGTAATTATATAATGCGAAAAGTTGCTTATTTTCTCATTTCTTACTTTTAATTCGATACAATTTATTCAGAGAGACTGATCAGAGTATATCATATTGACTGGTGTTTTTAGTCATATCTAAATTCAAGTAACACATGAAAATTTGAGTAGGCAGATCCAGAAACTTATATTTAGTTATTTTATTTTATTCTTCTTTATTCGAGTAGGAGCAATTAAAGTATGATTCTGAGTGCAAGGCAAAGACTAGTCATATTTTCCAAATATACAAAATTTTGTGCATAAATAGTATATATGCTTCTTAAATTTATGCTTTCAAATGTTTTTAATGATATTCAAGCCAGTATGATAAAAGTGATTTGATTTTGCATTTTATTATGAAAAAGATATATTTGTGTATTTCTTTCATTTTTTTTTTCGTATTTTACCTGTTGTGTGAGAACAAATGGGAATGCTTTATATCTTAATGTATGAAAAAGCGATAATTATTTGTGTTGCATCTCTTGCAGTAGCATGCTTCTGCAATATAGAATATATTTAATTTCTTTTTCTTCTATATACTTTAAGAGAACGAGAGGGATGAGATCTTATCGAATTATCTAAGTTAGTGTATTAAATTTATGCTTTCAAATGTTTTTCTACATTTATTAATCAAATTAAAAATAATCAAAAGATGAATATAAACTTTCTGCAAATAATTTGAGTAATTATTCCATTACTGTGCTGAAATCACACATCTTGTACATTGCTAATTCTCTTAACATTTGTCATTCTTAATAATCATATTTTACTCTAATTAAAATAAAACGGGTAAATTACTAACAAACTATTATCATATCAATCAAATGCTTGAAATTTAATTGACAATTTACACTATCATCGCGTAACATTTAAATTCATCATTGAAATATAATCTAAAAAAGCAGCTGATTTTTACATTTACAAGATATGAATAAGACATTGATTTACAAATGTGTTTTTGTTTCGGGAGAAACAGCTCATTTATATGCTTATTATGCGCAAATTTATGGAATTCAATTATATTTATAGCATTAGCAAACAAGAGAACGAAAAGATAAAAAAAAGAAATTGAGATTACATTTTGAACAAACTTGATATTCTCTTCTTGAAGGAGTATAAAATAGTCATTACTAATTTGGTCAAACATTTCCAGACACAAAGTCTATAAATTAACTCGAATGTGCCTGCAATCTGTTTACTTCTTGAAACCACTCCTGTTAGACTAGCAGATGATCTAAAGACATTTGGTCTGGTCGTACCAAGAGCTCGTGTTAAAGAGACAATTTTAACAGAACATTGAACTCCGTTCATTGACGATCGAGCTAATGTCACCGGCCCAAATATCTTCGGACTAGTTCTACCTGCAATAATAACAGAGCAAGAATGTACTGGCTCAACACTGTAGCGAGCTCATTCTGTAGGAGTACAAGCATCAAGCCTTGCATCGTATTAGTTTTGCTTCTTGGGCTGGAACTCCTTCACTGCTTGTCCACATATAGACTCGTAGGTGGATAGGGATGTGTACTGGTGCGGAAGGTGTGCAAATGCTATCCCTGACCACCACCCCGCGTCCCCCCACCCCTACCCCTATCAGCTTTTCTGATGTCCCATATGATATTACCTCCCTTGATCGTCCGTTAAACAAAAAGGTCTGTCTTATCATTGGACGTTGCATTGGATGGATTGCGGGAAAACAGTATTTGCACTTTTGCAGTATGCAGCGCACGGTATAAGACCAGACCTGGTCTGGTCTACCATTACGGTCATTCCCACTCTACTTCCTCCGGTGATCCTGCTAAGGAACTAAGTCCCAGTCCTGCCGAAGTTGAACCTAGGAGCGTTGCAGACACCGCTGCTTCGAACCAGCCAGGTTGGAGCCAAAATCAGCTCAGTTTTCTCACTTTCCTTTAAACCCCGCGTTTCTCAAACCTTTGATCCAATCTCCTCCTCCATCTGCCATCATTTTCAATCTTGTCCCATTCATGCAACTACTTATCCAAGAACTTATATCCTGATATAACAACCTAATATATATTTATAAATTTTTTTACATGTACTGCAAATGCATGCATTGCAAATAAGATATCGTTATATCTTTTTCTTTCTAATCTTAAATTTATATTTCTCAAAATATGTATGTATGGAATTTATGCCTTTCTAACATCTAATTATATATTATATGTCTAATTATATATTAATTTTATTGTGTGAGAACAAATGGGAATGCTTTATATCTTAATGTATGAAAAAGCGATAATTATTTGTGTTGCATCTCTTGCAGTAGCATGCTTCTGCAATATAGAATATATTTAATTTCTTTTTCTTCTATATACTTTAAGAGAACGAGAGGGATGAGATCTTATCGAATTATCTAAGTTAGTGTATTTTTTTTCTTTAACGTTAATGTGTTTACAGCGTTTTTATTCTTGAGCGTCTTGTATGTGTGTGCGTGTTCTTTTTTTTGGTAATTTGTAGCTCCTTTTATTAGTATCTCCCTGTTCAGCATGATTATAGTTTTTACGAATGAGTCTAACAAACAAAGATTTTTCTTTTTTTTTTTTTTGCTGTTTTGACGCTTGTGTATTTCTCCTAGAGCGATTTTGGCTTCGATTCTCCTATTAATGAATGTTAAGGCTTCGTTGATTCAAATAGGTATCTTTGAAGTTATTTGTAGTTACAATATGTTTGAAAAATCGTTTGTTTGTATCTGTCTCTATATTTGGAATCGATATATCTCGTCGTTATATCTTTGGATTTTGCTGCTGGTGATGGAATGATTGACATGTGCATTTTGTTATACTTACATATAATCAGATTTGTTTTTTCCTTGTTGTAACAATTTGTTAGATATTTATGAATGTTTAGAATAATTGATTCTGTTATCTGAAAAAAATGCGATAATTTGAGCAATGGGCTTTACAATCTATATAAAATTATATATAAATATAATATATACAGAGTGTTTCAATTATAATTATTATTCTTGTTTTTACAGTCAATTTCTTTCGACGTAAAACTTTATAACAATTAGAATTAAAATTGAAACCTTATTAAAACAGACAAAAAATGCAAATTATAGTAAATTTTTTCTAAACTCTAATCTTGTTTTCCAAATTTTTCAATTTTTATCTTTGCCTCTTTTAATTTTGAGTTTAATTTTCATAGTTTTAGAGAATTTTCTGGATATTCGAGTCGTTTCGAATTCTATTTTAGCCCATAACTTTGATATAACCGAATCGATTACGAACGGATGTTCACAAAAAGAGAGAAAGAGAGAGAAAAAGAGTAAAAAAATACGACTTGATTGTATCTATCATATAAAACCAGTGTGCATGGTCCAACAGCTTATGACGGCAAAGCGCAACTGTGGGTATGTTGATCGGTTTGTGATCAGGTGGTACGCGTCGGGGTCGTCAGAACACTACTTCCTCGAGTACCTCGAGTCCCTCCCCGGCGGCTCCAGCCGTCGCATCCGCTACGGGAGCGACGTCGCAACCATCGCAACAGTCGCAACAGCAGCTGCAGCCGGCATCCGCGCAGACGCCCGTCGCTCCAGCGTCGCCCACCGTCTCGGTGACCAAGGAAGATCATCTACCTGCCGCGTCCTCGCCCGGCGGCACCGCCGTCCCGTCGCTCTCCTCAGCGGAGACTGCGACGGGAGGGTCACCCACCCCTGGAGGAGGAGGAGGTGGTGGAGGAGGACCGACCATGGAGAAGAAGGCCGGCGGCAAGTCATCCGCGGCGCAACCGTCCCCGTATTGCGACTTCTGCCTGGGTGACGCGCGCGAGAACAAGAAGACGGGCGGATCCGAGGAGTTGGTGTCGTGCAGCGACTGTGGCCGCTCAGGTAAGCCAGAGGAAAAGATCAAGCGCAAGTATACCAGGAGAGCGAATCACAATTAAACTCGATCGGGCACGACGACGACTACGGTGACGAGAGACGACGACGACGACGACGACGATGACGATGATGAGGATAAATGATGGTGATGATGATAATATACATATATATTCTGAATCGAGAGACGGTAAGATTCGTTCCGTGTCTATACGGACGGTACTATTTTCTACATCTCTTTGCGAGCCTATCGCGCACTGCGTCCTGTGAATATATAGCCAGATACAACTCAAAAACAAAATCAGGAGATCAGTATATACACGTCGCAATACCTCGAGTATGCTTCCGCGCGACTGAGATGTGAGTAGCAGCTTATTTATGAAACGCGGGATATGTGACTTAGTGATGATTTAGCGATACGAGATGGTTTAATGTCGGCAATATCTGATACGCCGATATCGGCATATAGCGTTATTGGGTATATATATATATACGTGTTCACGCTATAATTGTTTATACTTCCATGTTTCAGCTGTTAACATCGTGAAAGATATTGAGTAACTTGTTAATTTTACGACACAAGCAAGCGTACGTGCTCTTCCTTACGCAAAGAGAGGATCGCTGTTTCCTCCCCCTCCCTATTCGTATATTCCAAACGTATCTATAATTGTTAAACGCGCAATATCGAGATGTTTAGAATTATCTGTTACATTTGTAATAATTTGAGGATTCTGCCTTTCTTTTCGTTGATGCGCATCACGTGTACGCGTGTAGCCGTTAAAAAAAAAAAAAATATCGTAGAAATGAAATCTGTTATCAGTTTTGTGCAGACCATGTTTTCTATAAATCTTCGCTTTAAGTTGTTAAGATAAACAGATAAAAAAAAAAAGAGAGGAGATAACTTTTTGAGTTGTATAGGGTTACAATTGTCGCGCGTGACGCACTTTTTTCGTCACTGCCGTCAAGGGTAATAGAAACGTGCTGAAATGTGCAACTCCCCGGGTGCAATAATTAAGGAGAGAGAGAGAGAGAGAGA